TTGTCTTATTGCACTGGCTGCAATCAGTACAATGTTAAATAGAAGCAATGAGAAAGCAGCCATGCTTGTCTCATTTCTGATTTTAAAAGAATGTTTGTAGCATTTCACCAGTAAGAATGTTTTCTGTGGGGTTTTTGTGGATACTCTGCCAGGTTAATGAAGTTCTCTCTTTTTTTTTTTGAGACAGAGTCTGGCTCTGTTGCCCACACTGGAATCTTGCTGTGTCACCCAGGCTGGAGTATGGTGGCACAATCTCAGCTCACTGCAACCTCTGCCTCCAAAGTTCAAACAATTCTCCTGCCACAGCCACCTGAGTAGCTTGAATTACAGGCGAAGGCCACCACATCTGGCTAATTGTTTTATTTTTAGTAGAGACAGGGTTTCACCATCTTGGCCATGCTGGTCTTGAACTCCTAGGAGACTGCAATTTATCTGCTTGCCTTGACCTCCCAAAGTGCTGGCATTACAGACATGAGCCACTGCGCCTAGCCTCCTCTCATTAAATAAAAAATTTTGATTTTTATTAGTCACATATGGATATAATTTTAAAAATCAGTCAAAAAGTCTTATGGTAAAATACAGCAATTTTCCACTTCACTCCTCCATCCCCCTATACCTGTTTCTTCTGGGATTTATACATCTTCATGTTTCTAAATAATGTGTCTACTGATAGTTTTTTAATTAATCAATTTCAGAAATTATCTATTGAATTCTTATTTGGCAGATGAGAATTTAATTTTCTTATATTGCTATGAATTAAAATAATAGTGGTTAAGTGAATATTTCACACTTACATTTTTATGCTTACTCAATATTATTCATAGCTGAGCACTTTGGGGACTATGATTATATTTTTTACCCTTGATTTTCCCTAAAGTTAGTAATTATCTGATTAAAAATTGCTCAGCTTTCTCTGTTCCTTTTGCTAATTTCTTTCACGCCTTCCAATGTCTTCAGTCACATTAGTTGACCTAACAGTCTCAGTGAGTTTCTGTGACACCGTCATTCCAATTTCTCCTCTATCTGGGCTGGTTGCTTTTCATGCTGCTACACAGTCATTGTTCTGGGACTTTGCTGTCCTCCTTGCAATAACCTTTCTCATTCTCCTGAGTTCTCTGCTTTGCTAGATCTCCTGTATGTCTTTCTTTCTTATGATTTACTCCTCTGTTTTGTTGGAACACATCCTGTATTTGTTCATGAGTGGTAGAGTGATGTAGGGTGAGGACTGCCCTCAGCATCCCAGCCTCTTGATCTTCTGCTTTCTAATTTAGACCAGTTGCCCTCTTCACCTATGTGGGAGTCCAGGATATGGCATCACTACCATCCTGAAGATTCTCTTCCCTTTGATCCTGGGTTGACTTTCCTGTCTTCTGCCTATTCGTTCCTCTTTCTTGGCTACCTCTTCATTGTGCTGGAGTCCATCTGTCTTAGTTCACTCCTGCAACTATAGCAAAATACTTTAGACTGGGTAATACATAAATGATAGAAATATATTTCTTACAGTTCTGGCTGCTGCAAAGTCCAAGATCAAGGTGCCAGCAGATTTACTATCTGGTAGGAGCTTCCTCTCTGCTTCCAAGATAGCACTGTCTTGCTGCATCCTCACATGGAGGAAGTAACGAACACTGTATCCTCGCATGGCAGGTGGGTGAAAAAAAAGGGACTAGGGTGCTCCCTTCAAGCTCTTTTTGTAAGGTAACTAATCCCATTCATAAGGGCTCTGCCCTCCTGACTTAATCACCTTCTAAAGGGCCCCACCTTTTAATACCATCACATTAGCAATGAAGCTTCAACATGTGAAGTTTGGAGGACACATTCAGACCTAGCAGCATCTTTCAGCAGCTTCCGAGAAAGGATCATGAGATGGTTAAGGTTTTCGAGACCATAAATACGTAAAAAATAAAAGTTTTTATTTTATCTACCCTCATGCTTGAGTGATAGTTTGGTTAGCAAAGAATTCTAGGTGGGAAATAATTTTCTTACAGATTTTCGAATGCATCGTTCCATTTTCTTCCTGCATCTGTGTCGCCGTGGAGAAGTCCAAATCATTCTGATTCCAGACCCTCTGTTGTGACTATTCCTGGGGAAGCTTGTAAGATTGCTTTCTCCCAATTTTCTGAAATTGTACCCTGATGAGCCTTAGTGTTTTCATTGCCTCTACTAGGCACAAGGTGAACTTTTTCTTTTTTCTTTCTTTTTTTTTTTTTTTTAATGACACAGGATCTTACCCTGTCACCCAGGCAGGAGTGCAGTAGTGTGATCACTGTATACTGGGGGCTTAAGCAATCCTCCCACTTCAGCTGGGACCACAAGGCAGACACCATCACACCCAGCTAATTTTTTGATGTTTTGCTGAGATGGGGTCTCACTCTGTAGCTCAGGCTGGTCTCAAACTCCTGAGCTCAAGTGATCCTCCTTCCTCAGCCTCCCAAAGTGCTGGGATTGCAGGCGTGAGCCACCGCACCTGGCCATCTTGAGTTATTTATCTGATGCTTTACCCGCTTCATTTTCTTCTGTTCCTTCTTTTTTCAGACATGGAACCCCCTAAATTGATTTTCTAATTTTCTAATCTTTTCTCTATTTTCCATTTCTTTCTTTTTGGGGACACTCCCTCAACTGTGTCTTCCAACCTTACTCATTGTTTTCATTTCTGCCATCGTGCTTTTAAAAAATACATTATTTTCCAATAGTTTTTGCTGTTCTCTGAATGTTTACTTTTCATAGAATCAGGTTCTCATTTCACGAATGCAATACTTTCTTTTCTCACTCTGGGGTTATTAATACCTCTTCTTCCTCCTCCTCCTCGCCCTCCTTCTCCTCCTCCTCTTCACCTCCTCTTCTCCTTCTTTTTTCTACAGCGTCTGTTTCCTGCAAGTTAGGGTTTTTTTTTTCTGCTTACTGGGTTTGTTCTTTCTTAAGGCAGAGAGGTTTCTCCTCAGTTGTTTAATAATCCTCGATTGCTCATTATTAAGAACAAGATCTTAAAAATTGTCGGCAAGCATGTTGACTTTGAGCTGGCTGGATATTTTATCGGCTAGCATTCATCTTAGATCCCTCTTTCTGGGTTGGCCAGAGTCCCACAGAGGGGCTGTCTGGAGGGTAAAGGTCGGGCAACTCATTACCCTTCTGGTGACTGAGTTGCCATTTTGGCTGACAAGTGAGATAAGAGGGTTGGAGGTCTCGGATTTCACCGTGTGTCCAATAACCCCCTTAATCTGCCAGTGGCCCAAAGACCCTCTGTTTTGCCATTTCCAGAGAATAAATCTTCAGGGTTATGCTAGACTCAGAGAGGGGCAGTTGGCCAGTGGCATGGAGTAGAGGAGGGGATCTAGGGATTGAATCACTCAGTTTGCTTTGATCTAATGCTCTATACTTCAGCTTCTGCTACCAATGCCAGTGGTCTCTGCTGCCACCCGTTCCTGAGGTTCCGTTGCCTTGATATAGCCATAATTCAGAGAGACTTGTTGATATCTCACACCATAATGATGTGTCTCTTTTCCCCTGTAGCTTTAATTATTTTTGCTTTAAATATTTTAGGCTATTTTATTAGGCACATATTAATTTAGATGGTTATATCTATCTGCTGAATTTTTTTAAGAAAAACAGTGTCATCATTTTATTATTACTGTGTAGTGACCACCACTACCCTAATGTTTTTCGTCTTAAAGTTTTCTATGTATTTGATTTTTTTGAAACAAGGTCTTCCTGTGTTGCCCAGACTGAATGCAGCGGCATGATCACAGCTCACTGCAGCCTTGACCTCCCAGGCTACAGTGTTCTTCCTGCCTCAGCCTCCCAAGAACTGGAACTACAGGCTTGCACCACCACACCTGGCTAATTTTTTATTTTTTGTAGAGATCGGTTCTCCACATGTTCCCTAGGCTGGTCTCAAACTCCTGAGCTCAAGTGAGCCTCCCTCCTCAGCCTCCCAAAGTGCTGGGATTACACACATGATTCACCACAATTCGTATTTTTTTTTTTGAGATGGAGTCTTGCTGTGTTGCCCAGGCTGGTGTGAAGTGGGGTGATCTTGGCTCACTGCAGCCTCTGTCTCCCAGATTCAAGAGATTCTCCTGCCTCAGACTCCCGAATAGCTGGGATTATAGGCGCCTGCCACTGCACCTGACTAATTTTTGCATTTTTAGTAGAGACGGGGTTTCACTGTCTTGGCCAGGCTGGTCTTAAACTCCTGACCTTATGACCCACCCACCCCGGCCTCCTAAAGTGCTGGGATTACAGGCAGGAGCCACCGTGCCCAGTGCATGATTCGTCTTAAAGTTTGGTTATCAATGCAGAAATACCACCTTGCTTTTGGTGTAACTTTTTCAAGCTCATCCTTTCCATATCCTTCTGCTTAGGTGTGTCAGATATACCTTTTTAAAAAGCATTTTGAACATTACATTACATTCCCATGGTTGTGCAATCATCATCCATATATAGAACTGTTTTTTGTCTTCCCAAATGAAACTCCATGCCCATTAAACAAATATCATCTCCCCTCCATTCTCTGTTTTCTGTTCTTGATTTCATAGACCTTATGAGTCTATGTTTGGCTTGGAGTGGTGGCTCACGCATGTAATTCCAGCACTTTGGAAGGCCAAGGTGGGCGGATCACCTGAGGTCGGGGGTTCGAGACCAGCCTGGCCAATATGGCGAAACCCGTCTCTACTAAAAGTACAAAAAAATTAGCTGGGCATCGGTAATTCCAGCTACTTGGGAGGCTGAGGCAGGAGAATCACTTGAACCTGAGAGATCTGCTTTAACCTGAAAAATTGTCGCCACTTTTTCTAGGATTGCAGTGAGCCAAGATCACGCCACTGCACTCCAGCTTGGGCAATAAGAGTGAGACTCCATCTCAAATAAATAAATAAATAAATAAGTCTATGCTTTACATCTGCTTTAACTTCTTTTCATATCTTCCGTCTTTGCGTGTGTGCTTCTGCGCTGTCTTTTGATTCTTTTTTGTTTGTTTTAAAATGAGGGTTGTTATTATTCTTTAGGTTTGAAGATACCAGTGCACTAGGGGAGGTCCCCAAATGCCAGTGGGACCTCAACCCCAGTCGGTGTCCAGGCTCTTGACACTATCACGAGAGGGAATTCAAGGATGAGTCGGCACTTAGTGAAAGTATGGAGATGTACTGCTAAGCAAAAAGTACACAGTCTAGAAAGGGGAATGTGGCATACTCAAGAGCGTGAGTCACCTAATTCTTTAGATACATCTTACATAGCTCTAATTCTCTCTGTAGCTGCTGTTTAACTTGTTCTTTTAGATATTTATTTACTTATTTAATCATTTAAAAAATCTGCTTAGGGCTGGGTGCAGTGGCTCACGCCTGTAATCCCAGCACTTTGGGAGGCTGTATTCTAGGAGTTCAAGACCAGCCTGGCCAACATGGCGAAACCCTGTCTCTACTAAAAACACAAAGATTAGCGGGGCATGGTGGTGTGTGCCTGTAATCCCAGCTACTCAGGAGGCTGAGGCAGGACAATCTCTTGAACCCGGGAGCCCAGATTGCACCACTGCACTCCAGCCTGGGTGAGGGCAGAGCGAGACCTTGTCTTAAACAAACAAACAAACAAACAAAAAACTGCTTGGTTCTCCTTGATAATCTCTTGTTTATTCGTCTTGAATTCATACATATTTTTTTTAAATTGTCTTTAAATTTTTTGAGACGAAGTCTCACTCTGTCTCCCAGGCTGGAGTGCATTGGTGCAATCCTGGCGGCTCACTGCACCTCTGCCTCCTGGGCTCAATGGATTCTTGTGCCTCAGCTTCCTGAGTAGGTGGGACAACAGGCATGTGCCACCATGCCCAGCTAATTTTTGTGTTTAGGAGAGACAGGGTTTCACCATTTTGCCCAGGCTGGTGTCAAACTCTTGGGCTCAAGCGATCCACCTCTCTCAGCCTCCAAAAGTTCTGGCAGCTACCATGCCCGTCCATATGTGTATATTAACAATAACTTATCATCTATTTCAAAATAGCTAAAAGATGATTTGCAACATTCCCAACACAAAGAAATGATAATTGTTTGAGGCGATGAATATCCCAGTTACCCAGATTTGATCATTATACATTGTATGCTTGTTTCAAAAGGTCACATATACCTCACAAATATGTACAACTATAGCCAGAAAAATTAAAAATAAATTCTTTTTTTTGCTTTTTGTTGTGTAAATTTTTTGCATGTCCTTTTCTTTAAAAATTGATTCTAAAAATTCATACGTTAACCTTTCAACATCATATCTAGGAGACCACTCTCTGGAGTCCTGTAGCATCTAAATCTGTTGTGTGTTGTTTCTTTTCTGTTTTTGTTTTTTTTTTAGAGAGAGGGTTTTACCATGTTGATCAGGCTGGTCTCGAACTCCTGACCTCAGGTGATCCGCCCACCTCGGCCTCCCAAAGTGCTGTGATTACAGGCGTGAGCCGCCACGCCTGGCCTGTGTGTTGTTTCTGTTGAGTCTTACTCATAGTCGCTAGCATGTTTACGTGCTGGTGATTTGATTGTGAGTGCATTGCTTGATATTGAGCAATGGAAATCCTTCATATCTAACTTTGGATATATTCCTCTAGCAAGGATTTGAATTGGCTTCTGCCTGGAGCCAGGGGTGTCACCAACATGGAACGCTTCAGCCCCCTCTGAGGGTCCTAGCTCCATGAACTTTCAGGGTCCCAGCTCCATGTATTCTGAAGGTCCCTGCTCCATGTATTCTGAGGGTCCTAGCGCCATGTAGATGCCCAACATTCAGTTGCCCAACCTCCCTCCTGGCCAAGTGCCCAGCTTTGGCTCCATTTTCCTTTGTGGGTCAGGAAGTGGCTTTTGCAGACAAGGCCTAGAGCTTGATAGACAACAAGTCCTCAAAGAATTGTAGCCTCTTTTTCTAGGATTTTTTTTTTTTTTCTGTAGCAGGAAGCTTCCACTCTGCTCCAAGTCCACCATATCACTAGGAGTAGAAATTCTCCAACCCATTCCACACTCATCCATAGACGCCATCTTTTTGATATGCAAATCCATTCACATCACACTCCTGCATAAATCCTTCAGTGACTCCTCTTTGTCCTTAAGTATGAAGTTTGAATGCTTTACATAGTATACTGCATTAGTCCATTCTCACACTGCTGCAAGAACTACTTGAGGCTGGGTAATTTATAAAGAGGTTTAATTGGCTCACAGTTCTGCAGCTGTACAGGAAGCACAGCTGGGGAGGCCTCAGGAAACTTACAATCATGGCAGAAGGTGAAAGAGAGGCAGGCACGCCTTGCATGGCTGGAGCAGGAGGAAGACAGCAAAGCGGGAGGTACTACATACTTTTTTTTTTTTTTTTGAGCTGGAGTCTCGGCTCTGTCAGCCAGGCTGGAGTGCAGTAGTGCAATCTAGGCTCACTGCAACCTCTGCTTCCTCGGTTCAAGCAATTCTCCTGCCTCAGCCTCCCAAGTAGCTGGGATTACAGGCACACACCACCATGCCCAGCTAATTTTTGTATTTTTACTAGAGATGGGGTTTCACCATGTTGCTCAGGCTGGTCTCAAACTCCTGGCCTCATGATCTGCCCACCTCAGCTTTCTAAAGTGCTGGGATTACGTGCATGAGCCACCGTGCTCGACCGGTGCTACATACTTTTAAACAACCAGATCTTGTGAGAACTCACTCATTATCACAAGATCAGCAAGAGGGAAATCTGCCCCCATGATCCAATCACCTCCCACCTGGCCTCTGGTTTAATGCTGGAAATTATAATTTGACATGAGATTTGGGTGGGGATGCAGAACCAAACCATACCATATACAAAACCCCATATAATCCAGCCCCTGACTCTCTTGCCAGCCCCAGCTCTTTCAGTGGCCTCCCTTTCCACTCCAAAATTCCTGCCTCAGGAAATTTTTCCAGACTTCTAACCCTGCCTAGCTTAGGAGTTCCTGGATGTGCTCCCAGACCACTTTGTACTTCCCCTATCCTTGTACCTGACCCGTGGTCCTGTGTGTTAGTCCGTTGTGCCTTGCTATAAGGAATACCCGAGACTGGGTAATTTACATAGAAAAGAGGTTTCTTTGGCACACAGTTCTGCAGACTGTACACGAAGCATGGCCCCAGCATCTGCTTCTGGTGAGGGCCTCAGGACACTTCCAATCATGGCAGAAGGTTAAGGGAGAGCATATATGGCACATGGTGAGAAAGAGAAAAAGAGAGAGATGAGGGGAGGTCCCAGACTCTTTTTCTAAGAGTCAGATCTGGCCAGGTGTGGTGGCCCATGCCTGTAATCCTAGCACTTTGGGAGGCCAAGGCAGGGGGAACACCTGAGGTCAGGAGTTTGAGAGAAGCCTTGTCAACATGCTGAAATTCTGTCTCTACTAAAAATACAAAAATTAGCTGGGCATGGTAGTGTGTGCCCATAATTCCAGCTACTCAGGAGCCTGAGGCAGGAGAGTTGCTTGGACCCGGGAGGTGGAGGTTGCAGTGAGCTGAGATTGTGCCATTGCATGGGCCTGGCACCAGGCAGGAAAGAGTGATGAAATAAAAGCTTTCTGTATCAAAGCCAGGTGTAACTCACGTCTACAATCTCAGCACTCTGGGAGACTGAGGTGGGTGCATCAGGAGTTCAAGACTGGCCTGGCCAACATGGTAAAGCCCTGTCTCTACTTTTTGCAAAAATTAGCCAGACATGATGGCATGCACCTGTAATCTCAGCTTCTCAGGAGGATGAGGCAAGAGAATCACTTGAACCAGGGAAGTGGAGGTTGCAGTGAGTGGAGATCGTGCCACTGCACTCCAGCCTGGGCAACAAAGTGAAACTCCATCTTAAAAAAAAAAATCAGATCCTGCAGTAACTCATAGCACAGGAAGGGGACCAAGCCATTCACGAGGGGACCAAGCCCCCATGACCCAAACAGCTCCCACAAGACCCACCTCCAACACTGGGGTCAAATACCCAAATCATATCATGCTGTAATTAGATGTCTGAATTCCCCTACACATAATCCCCTTCTAAACTGTATACTTCGTGAGCACAGAACCATTGTCTATCTGGTTCACTAATATGCCGTTAACACTTGGCACCTGTGTTCTTTTTTTTTTTTGAGACGGAGTTTCGCTCTTGTTACCCAGTGCAATGGCGTGATCTCGGCTCACCACAACCTCCGCCTCCTGGGTTCAGGCAATTCTCCTGCCTCAGCCTCCTAAGTAGCTGGGATTACAGGCACACGCCACCATGCCCAGCTAATTTTTTGTATTTTTAGTAGAGGCGGGGTTTCACCATGTTGACCGGGATGGTCTCGATCTCTTGACCTCGTGATCCACCTGCCTCGGCCTCCCAAAGTGCTGGGATTACAGGCGTGAGCCACCACGTCCGGCCAAGACTCTTTACCTTTGAGTGCGAGCAGATCTATCGATCCTTTTCTGTTAAGGTCTCTTCAAAATATTTCCAAGTTTAGAAAGTTGTTCCCTGGCTCCCTGTGTAATAAGTGTTCACTTCTGCTTTTTATGCACACAGCTGTCCGTTTAATCTTCCCAAAGCCGGGCTCTGATCATTTCTTTCCTCTGCTCAAAAATGTTTAACCAACTCCTTGGAGGCTTTAGAACAAAGTTCAAATTCTTTAACTCACCTCCAAGGCTTTTCAGGAATTAACCTGAGGCTGTCTTTCCAGACATTTTTTTTCTTTCCTGAGATGGAGGCTTGCTCTGTCACCCAGGCTGGAGTGTGGTGGCGTGATCTCTGCACACTGCAACCTGTGCCTCCCAGGTTTAAGCAATTCTCCTGCCTCAGTACCCCCTGAGAAGCTGGGACTACAGGCACACACCACCATGCCCAGCTAATTTTTGTATTTTTTATATTTTTATTTTATTTATTTATTTATTTTTACTTTTATAAAGACGGGGTTTCATCATGTTGGTCAGGCTGGTCTTGAACTCCCGACCTCAGGTGATCTGCCAGCCTTGGCCTCCAAAGTGCTTGGATTACAAGTGTGAGCCACCACGCCTGGCCTAATTTTTGTATTTTTAATAGAAAAAGAGTTTTACCATGTTGGCCGGGCTGGTCTTGAACTCCTGACCTCAAGTGATCCGCCTGCCTTGGCTTCCCAAAGTGCTGAGAATTACAGGTATGAGCCACTGTATCCCACGCTATATGGATACTTAAATCGTCTTCAATCCCTTCTTTCTTTAAAAAGCCTAATCTTACCCTTCCTCCTTAGAGAGTGTGTGGTAGGGAGACAGGAAAACAAGCTCTGGAGTCAGATAGACCTGGACCCAAATCCAAGTTCCTTTACTTGTCAGTCACTGCCCACATCCTTTAGCCTTTCCAAATCTCAGTTTCCTTGTCTTTAAAATTGGAACAGAGGCTGAGCGTGGTGGCTCACTCCTGTAATCTCAGCACTTTGGGAGGCTGAGGTGGGTGGATTACAAGGTCAGGAAGGAGTTCAAGACCAACCTGACCACCATGGTGAAACCCCATCTCTACTAAAAATACAGAAAAAAAAAAAAGCTGGGTGTGGTGGCACTCGTTTGTCATCCCAGCTACTTGGGAGGCTGAGGTAGGAGAGTCGCTTGAACCCGGGAGGCAGAGGTTGTGGTGAGCTGAGATTGTGCCACTGCACCCCAGCCTGGGTGAGAGAGCGAGACTCCATCTCAATAAATAAATAGGGAACAGAAAGCAAGAAAGGACCACCAAGGACCATTGGGCCGCTGTGAGGATGAATGGAGTGTGAGATTGCATGTAAATCTCCTAGCACAGTCCCCAGCTCACCTCACATTCTGCCACCTTGGAAGGGAGTCACCAGCTCTCTGGGGTCATACCCTCCTCCACTAGTCATGTTTTCCCCCGATGGTTTCTGATAGATTCTCTGTTCTCTAAGAATTCCATGAGGTGACTGAGCTTTCCTTCTGAGGATTTGAGAGTGGGCAAACAGGTTTCACCTCTAGGAATTCAGCTCAGGCCCCAGGCACCTTGGTGGGACTCCACACCCATCTGGGCCCAAAGGAATCCCGTCCTTCCTTTCTTCTTCATTTGAGGTTAGTTTCATTATGGGGAAACGGTGACATTTCCAAAGGGGTTCACCAGCACCTCTCGCCCCTTGCCATCAGCACCGCACAATATGATGATGAGTCAAGTGGAACAAAGATAAGCCTCCCAGGTTTAAGGTGGGTAAACTGAGGCTCAAACTAGCTTTCTTATGTCTGTGTCTAGAACTTGTGGGTCTTTGCAGCCGGAGAGGGGATTCATTCAGGGGGGTCTGAGGGGCCTGGGCAGCTGTGGTGGGGAACTGGGGGAGCTCTGGCAGGAGATGGGCCAGGAATCCTGTCTCTCAGGGCCTCAGCCTTGTCCTCAAGTAGGTTAACGCCAGTCTTTCAGAAGCCGGCCTGGAGCTCAGTGTCTGCACTTGCTTTGGGAGCCGACATCGTGAGTAGATTCTTTGGCCCGCATCATTTGGGGAAGGAGCAGGGATGACAACTCACTGGCTGGGGCTGCACCTCTAGGGCTGGGAGCGAGGATGGGTATTTCCTGGACAGTGAAAAGAGCAAGTGTAGCCTGAGAAGGCCTGGCTGCTAGGCCAGTTGTGTACCCGGCATGCCGTACCAGCCGGAAGAAGTGCCTGCCCCTCTGGACCCCAGCTGCCCTCCCTAGAAACTGGAGATGATGGTGGGAGGAGAGGTCTCTTGTGAACCTCAGTGTTCTCAAAGTGCTGTCCTGGGCTAAGCCCCTCCCTGAGCCCAGACCGTCCCTGGGGCCTGGTTCACCAGGTTGGCCTGACCAAAGCTGTGACCCCATTTGGCCACCGCCACACCCTCTGTCCTGCCCTTCCTTGACGGGTCTGGGCCTGGTCTTGGTCAGGCCTGGTGGGAGAGCAGGGAGCCTCCAGGCCCAAGTTTGACCTTTTATTTCACTTTCCCTCTCCCTGGAGCCAGAGCTAGCGTCCTCTTTCCCTCCTGCTTGAAATCCGAGCTCAGGGATCCAGGAGGACTCTGGCTGCAAAACATTCCATCCCGCTGTCCAAACACCCTGCACAGCTGGCGGAGGGAGGGGCAGCCAGAACAGGCTTTCAGGAGCCCTGGGGCTGTTGTTTTCATGGAAATGGGGGAGCCCTCAATCAGAGGACCAGCACTGGCTGACCTGAGGGAGCCCCATCTGCACACAGGCTCCTGGAGTTTCCCTAGGGCTCCTCTACTGAGTGCCCAGCCCTGCAGCAGAAAATCCAGTTGCCTCAAAGTCTGCCCAGCCAGGTGTCGTGGCTGCCTCGCGCCTGCCAGTGGGGAGGTGGCTGCACCACAGGCAGGCGGGTAGTGGCCTTGTGAGCCTCCCCTCGTGACTGAGTGCTACACAGAGGCAGGGAAAGGCAGACAGGAATGACGCTGAGACAGCAAGCAGGGGAGGTGACTTCGGCAGCGGCTTTTACTGACGAGATGTCCCAGACCTGGCTGCCTCTCGCTGTGACTCACCACTGACCGTGGCTGAGTCTCTGAGCCTCAGTTTCCTCATCCACAAGAAGAGAGGGTTGGGCCTTTTCTGGCTCCGCTTTCTTCCTAAGAAGTTATAGCCAAAGACAAGATCTTCACAGCTTCCCATCCAGTCCATGCTGTGTCTGAATGTCCAGAAACATAACAGGTTTTTCTACACGGTCTCTAGCAACTCTGACTCAGTTTCCCCACTGGGAGGCTGGTGGGGTCTTGCCAGAGAGGGACCAACTCCCACATACATTGCCACCAGCCAGGCCAAGCCCCATCCCCTCCCGCCATGTTGGGGTAATAGGGAGACCCCCCCATACACACATCCTGTTTTCCATTAATCATTTCCAGGTGGGCCAAGGGGTTGCCCAGCAGAGGAAAGTGGGGGCACAGGAGAATTGAGCAGGGGGGTCAGAGAGGAGCAGAAACAGGAAGGGGGTGGGAGCAGGCCATGGAAAATTCATTGCCAGGAAAGGGAGGCCAGCATCTGGTTTGCATTAGGCCGAGAGAACTTCGAAGCCCAAAACCCAAGTGGGAGATATTGTTATCCGCTGGGCGGGGCAGGGCAGGGTGTGAGGAGCTGGCAGCTTCTCCCCAGCAGGGACTCGGAGGCTGCCCAGAAAGAAGAGGGAAGTTCAGGGAGAAGAGACTGGAAACATTTCTTTCTGGCTATGCTGTGGCAGGCACTTCACAAATGCTACCTTCTTTTTTTTTAACTTTTTTTTTTTTGAGATGGAGTCTCGCTCTGTCACCAGGCTGGAGTGCAGTGCTGAGATATCAGCTCACTGCAACCTCTGCCTCCTGGGTTCAAGCAGTTCCCTGCCTCAGCCTCCCAAGTGGCTCGGATTACAGGCACCCACCATCACGCCTGGCTAATTTTTGTATTTTTAGTAGAGTCAGGGTTTCACCACCTTGGCCAGGCTGGTCTTGAACTCCTGACCTCATGATCCACCCGCCTCGGCCTCCAAAGTGCTGGGATTACAGGCATGGGCCACCATGCCCCGCCCCTTTTTAAAAAAACTTTTTTTTTTTTTTAAGTAATGAGGATGAGGTCTTGCTTTGTAGCCTAGGCTGGTCTTGAACTCCTAGGCTCAAGCGATCCTCCCACCTCAGCCTCCCAAAGTGCTGGGATTACAGGCCTCAGCCCCTGCACCTCGCCGCAAATGTTACCTGTTTAATACTTCCTACTTCACAGGGGAGAACTGTTCCCATTTTATATACATGAGAAAACTGAGTCCCAGAGAGGTTAAGTGACTTGCCCAAGGCCACACAGCCAGGAAATGGGCAGAACTAGGATGAGAATTCAGGCCAGATGAAGACAGGGCGGCACATTCATACCATCCCACAGGTGGATGGAGTCTGACTGTGTACCAGGCAAGGGGACACTGAGAAGGGTGACGAGAATGGGCAGAGGCTGGGCTCAGTTCTTGTGAGAGTATCCGACGGTACTATGGGGTGTTTGTCATGACACAGGGCTAACCATGTGTCTGAGGGCTCTGGTGCCCACAGAGGAAAAAGGTAACCCACAGGAGAGGGCTTTCTAGAGGAGCGGGGATGAATGAAAGACAAACTTACCAGCAGAGGTGGGATGCAGTGGAGATTGCAGACAGAGGGGGCTATGGGTGGAAAGAAGAGGAATGAGCACATCTGGGCAGTGGCAACTGGCCTGGTGCACTTTGGAGGGTGAGAATCTATTTCATAGTTGGAGAAACTGAGGCACAGAGAGGGTGATGTGTGCTCAAAGGCACACCATTTGACAGTGGGGTTGAATCCAGCCTGTCTGACCCCAGGCCTGTGTTCCCAGCTGCTACACCGAGTTGTTCTTGGGTGGTGGTGGTTAAAAGTTCTAAGGGTAGCGAGACCCTGTCTCTCCAAAGAAAATTAAAAATTAGCCAGGCATGGTGACACACACCTGGAGTCCCAGGTACTTAGAAGGCTGAGGTGGGAGGATGGCTTGAGCCTGGAAGTTTGAGGCTGCCCTCCAGCCTGGGTGACAGAGCAAGACCCTGTCTTGAAAAATAAAGGGTCAGGTGCAGTGACTCATGCCTGTGATTGCAGCACTTTGGGAGGTTGAGGCGCATCACGAGGTCAAGAGTTCGAGACCAGCCTGGCCAACATGGTGAAACCCCGTCTCTACTAAGAATATAAAAAATTAGCTGGGTGTGGTGGCACGTACCTGTAATCCCAGCTACTCGGGAGGCTGAGGCATGAGAATCACTTGAACCTGGGTGGTAGAGGTTGCAGTGAGCTGAGATCACACCACTGCACTCCAGCCTGGGCAACAGAGCAAGACACCATCTCAGGAAAAAAATATATCAATAAATTAAAAATGAAAAAGAGGGAATCTCAAATCTAAGAAACATAATTTAAAAATAAAGACAAAATTAACAGTTTTAAGGGGATATCGAGGCCTGTAGTCATGGGCAGAAGGGCCACACAGCCAGCTATGACAGGGTCAAGGCTGGACCAGCTCTTTCCAACGCCCCAGGCTGCGTGGAGAGGGGACAAGCCTCATCTGGGAGCCTGGCTGAAACACGGGGCCTCCCCTCGAGGTGTCTCACCTCCCCTGGCCCAGAGCCCAGAAGGAGGGCCCAGTGTCTTCTGCTGCCAGAGAAGCCATATGAGTTAATAATTACGGGGTTGAAGGAGATAGCGGCTGTCCTGGGACATGGCACCTCCCTCCCAGGCTGCTGCTCTGGGGAGATAGCAAAGGTTAGTGTGAGGCTCAGCCTGGGTGCGGGAAGAAGGCTCCTGCTACCTCCCTGCCCGGCACCCTCCAGAGGGACCCTCAGTTTGGCTCTCCAGCATGGAATCTACTGAGGAGCCCGCTGGCTGCCCTGCCAGAGGGACATGCCCTGTATTCCTGGCCATGAGTGCAGGGACCGTCCGCTACGCCCCATCAGGCCTGTGCCCTGCCCTTGCGGGGAACTTGAGAGAGGAGCCTTGGGGCACAGACAGGTGAGCTCGGGACCCGGGGCTTGGAAGGGAGGGGGAATCTTGGCAAGCTGCGGGGCAGCCAGTGTGAGAAGTGGGCTCAGAGAGTCCCAGGGAATGGCTCGGATTGTCTTGTCCAATTTGGTGGCTGTTCAGAGGTGGAGACTGAAGTTCAGAGAGGGCAAGATGCTCGTCCTGGGTCACACAGTGAGCCGAGGACAGACCTGAAAGTCCAGAATCAGGGGCTGGGTCATCCAGGCTGACTGTCTCCTGCTCCTCGGCTGCCTTCAGCCAAGGGTCTGTGGTCAAGACTGCCAGGCTCAGGATGGAGCAGGCAGGAGGGGATGAAAGGAGGGAGGCTGAGGAGGGCAGTGGCTTGTGGGCAGAGGACACAACTTATTTTTTTTCCCTTTTTGAGACAGAGTCTTGCTTTGTCATCTAGGCAGGAGAACAGTGGCACGATCTCGGCTCACTGCAACCTCCACCTCCCAGGTTCAAGCGATCCTCCTGCCTCAGCCTCCCGAGTAGCTGGGACTACAGGCGTGCACCACCACGCCTAGCTAATTTTTGTATTTTTCTTTTTAGTAGAGACAGGGTTTCACCATATTGGCCAGGCTGGTCTCGAACTCCTGACCTCATGATCTGCCTGCCTTGGCCTCTCAAAGTGCTGGGATTACAGGCATAAGCCACTCGGCCGGTGAGGACACAACTTGTATTTCTCCCCTCCCTGCTACTGGCCAGACACCTATCATGTGCTCAGGAAC